TTGATTGCAGGCTCAGTAATGGGTATTGGCAGAATTGCCACATCCTCTTGTATATAGAGAGGATGTGGAAAGGGTGTTGGCAGTTTGTCTTTGTGTCTGAGGTTTTCCTCTGAGACTGAAGTGTCTATATCCCAGAGGCACACACTCAGTGTCTTTGTCATGGAAAGCCTGAGTATTGGCGCAACATCGCCTCCTAGTGGTGCAAGTTGTCCTCCTATATATTCAGTTGTATGAGATGTGTAAATGCTAACATTTGTGTTTTTTTTTCCTCATTGTTCAGCTTTATGAAAGCTTTGACCACGGAAAGATAACACACAAGATCACAGTTGTGCCTACTGCACCCTCATTGTTCAGCTTAATGAAAGCTCCTTTGACCACGGAAAGATACACAAGATCACAGTTGTGCCTACTGCAAATCTTACTGTCTCTTGTACAGTGATTAATAAGATTGGCATGGACACCAGCACTATAAATGTATCGTCCTGTAAGTACAACGTGGTAGGATGGTCCTCTCTCTCTCTCTCTCCTTCATAATTTTCCTGAAGCATAACTCTATAGTCTGTAGATGTTTTCCTAATCTGCTCATGAACTCTTTCTGTCTGCATGCCAACTTTGCATAATGTTGAGATGCTTTAACAAAACTGCAGCAACTCCGCAGCCATTTTGGGCTGACAGAAACCTTTCTGGCATTGACTTGGCATAAACAACCAGTCAGCTGACTTAATTTCACGCTTTTAGTCCATAGTAGAGAAAGACAGTGATAAAAGGTGAGATGATAAATGCTGCTTTTGGGGTATTAACTAATTTTTGTTTTGCTATATTGGTGGTTATTTTCCTTTTGATGATCACTTAGGAGAACATCCAACTTTTTACTGTCACCACATTACTGTCAATATGTAAATGATGCATGCACTTATCACTTTGTGCACACAGTTGTCCAAATGTGTTAATATCACCCTCTGCATTCGTGCTTACTCATCCCTGTGTGTTTGAGAGAGCATTTCACCCCTCTTGCCTCCTCGCTCAGTGTGTGTATGTTGGGATGCTGGATTTAATCTGTTCCCTCTTGAACAACTTGCATGCAAAAGTAGAACAGAAGTAGAGTAGTCGTTTTTTCAGATGTCAAGCTTGCTTTTTTTTTTTGTTTGGTTGTTTAGTTTTTTCTTTTGGTTGGATGTTAATTTTATTTTATATCTGATTTCAGTATATGAGGCTGTGAGAATGGCTAAACAAGGTAAGTTGTAGCAGTCTTCTTGCTTGTAAGAAATGGTAGTGGTGGTTGGGGGGAGGGTTGAGTAAAGACTATAGGTGAATCAAATGTTGCTCACTGAAAGAAGGGTTTTTTGACAAATATTTGCCTTAAACATCACCTTGGACTGTACAGTTGGAAAATCAATATTTGGAGTCTCTGTTAATAAAATATAAATGAAGGAGTAATAGGAATGGAGCTGCCAGCATCCTGACAAAATGTCAACATATTCATAATCCCATTGGCTGAGGAAAGGAGCTGAAACTAAGAATATGTCATTAACATTTAACTCAGTTGGTCACAGCCATGTACAGTGCGGATGTGTCCATTCATCAATGCCTTTATTGCACTTAATGGCTTTGTGTTGTTCTGCATTCAGACTGGAGTTTGATACTGGAACGTGTCTCTGATATTTCTGTTGGATCGTTTGTTACAGACCAGTCAGATCACAGTGACCAGACCAAGATGGTGGTTGGCGTTGTCGTCGGTCTGCTCATTGCCACGGTGATTATAGGCCTGGCATACTGGCTCTACATGAAGAAATCTAAGTAAGAACGCGATCCTAACACTGTTATATAATAATGACCCCAAGCTTCATAAAATGTTTGAATTCACTAATTTACTTTTGCCCCAGAGACCCACTGAGCTAATATAACCAGTTTTGACTCTATTTTTTGAGATACACAACAAAACATTATATAAAGTTTGATTCATTTACACACATGCTTAAAATATTATGTTATAAATGTTATTCTTTGTTATGTGGGCTGATAAAAATCCCTGCTCTTATGAGATGCTGCATATAAATGACAGCTGTGCCTATTTACAGTAAATCCCAATAGAGATATGTTTGTGAAATAAACAGACACTGCACCTGTAGTGTTTACCCAGGCACCACCAAGCTCTCATCAAGTACACACCGAGTACGTACACGGCAGACTATACTTGTTAGCTTCATTACATGCCCAGAGACTAGTGCTCCTGTGCTGGAATATTTTACTTTAGGTTTTCTTTGTGTAAATGTGTTATTTGATTAAGCACAGCTTTATTTGTGAATATAGATGATATGAGCACAAGATAAACTAAAATAATGAATTAAAAAATACATTTTCATACAGGGACCTACAGGTCTACAACACCAGGTAATAATACAGGCCTTAGTTGATGCTTTAGTTATGATGCAAATTTTAACATTTATGTAAAATTTGCAATTAAATGAATGGTTTGACATTTTGGGAAATATGCATATTCACTTTCCCGCTGAGAGGTAGGTGAGAATATTGACACCACTCTGATGTCTGTATTGTAAATAAAGAGCCAAAGCCAGAAGCTGGTTAGTTTAGTTTAGCACAAAGACTAAACGCAGATTAAACAACTCCTGATTTTAGGGATTACATGCTGGATTATTTCTCTGCCACGCACAGCGATGTGTCTTGAGTGGGTGCTGTGCAAACTTGTATTGAATTCAAGACTCAAGGAGCCCACAGCTACCAGTCCAAGGTAGTCCAGCACATAACGCCTGTAAAACTGCATCTTTCCTGTGTTACACTTTTTGTACAGTTTAATCAACAATATGCTTTGTATTGTGCTGATTAGTGAGCATTAGAGGTGCTGCTCCTCAGGTTTTTGGTACATCTGGGCTAAGCTAACCTAACCAGCATTTGGCTCCAGGCTCGTATTTCTTCATGTTTAATTCCTTTATCTGAAAAAAAAAATTGCCGCAGTGAATCCGTGGTCTTGGCCACCAGGGCAGTTTCCCAGTTTGTCTACTGGTTAATCATCCTGGCATTTGCCAACATAAATGAATTTGCTCTGGTGGACAGCGTATATTAGATCTTACTTTGCATGTGTAGTCAGCCCACCTTCAAAGAATGTACAGGTGACTGTAAAGAGAAGGATTATCAGCCTGATTTATTCTGAACAGGCAAGGCAGCTGGAAGACTGGGGAAAAGGAAAATGGGTCTTCTGAGGAGGAGAAAAAACTGGAGGAGAAAGTGGAGGAGAACAGCCAGAAAGCTGAGGTGTAGAAACAGCAACTGTCCTTTGGGAATGTGAAAGGTAGAGAGCCAAACATTTCCATCATGTGCTTAAATAAAGGTTAACAAAGTCAGTTTCTTTCAAATAACCTGCTTTATTTTGTTTTCCCAGTGAGAACATGGAACCTTTGCACATTTCTCTTCACCTCTGTCTTTGGGGAAAAACAAACGAGTGTACATTGGGATGAAGACGGTCTGGATTTGGTTTCAGGGAGTATTTTACTAAAAAGCATATCCAAACACGCCCCTCTCTCCTCAATCCCTCCTCCATTCCTGAAAAAAATGAATGGATACTGTATGTGATATACTTGTCTGCACTACTGATACATGTGTAAACGTGTCTACTATTAAGATTTGTGTTTGTTAGAATGGAATTCGGGAAACAGAAAATGCAGATCTTTTTGATTTTGTAGTTGATACAAGTAAAAAAAAGATACTACTAGACCAGTTGCCTTTGATGTAAGGATGTGTAGGCCTGCGTTAGTCTGACTTTTTGGCCCTTGGAGACACAGCAGGGACCGAGGGACATCATCACTGTCACATCTTAGTTTCACGTCATCACAAACAACCTCTGCCTTCAACATCAGTTCAGCTCTGTCTGTTCATTTGCGTTCATTTGAGCTCACTCATTCAGGTGGAAAATGTGTTGAAGTTGAAACAAAATCTCTGAAAAGGGCTAAGGGTATGTTGTTATACTCAGCAGTAGTTATAGGTGGTAATATGATTTCCATGTTGCAATGCAGAAAGTAGATGACGTGCCACAGTTTTTTGGCATTAGATGATTTTTTTTTCTCTGATTCTATTCAAAGAAACCTGGAGCAAAAATGACAAATAATTCATTTTTGCCTGTCTCTCCTTTTTTCAACAAACACAACCCCTGTATAACACAAGCAAGTGGATTATTGCAAGAATGTATAAACATAATAAGTCAGCTCGTTTTAATGGCTCCACTTTGGCTGCACAGCTTGTTTGATATAAAGCAATGGTTTGTTTTCGTGCTTTTCCCAAGAAAATGTCCTTAACCTCTTAGTCATGAAAGAATATTTTAGTTTATCTGTCAAGACTGTAAGTGAATTCTCAGTCTGTGCTCCATCAGTGTCTACGTATGATTTGGGAGCGTTTTGTAATCAAGGACACAGAATGGGCAGGATGTTTGACTTAAAGTAGCCGTTAAGAATTGTTTGCTTTCTTCTGAAAATCAACCTGTAAATGCTTTAGTTTGTGATGGGTTCATGTTTTTATGTCAAATTTTTGTAGGATATGATGGAATATACGAAGCTGTACATGTCACAGTTTTGGTCCCTTAACAGCATTTATTCATTTGAAAATGTATCAAGACCAGTATGTAATTGTGAAGTGTGGTTTGTCTTTTTGTTTTTGTTTTGTTTTTTGCTATTTATATTGTACAGGATAAAATATCCTGGTAGGCTGATTCAACAACTGCCGCATAATCATAAATTGGAGTCATTGATAAATTGCTTGCAGACTTTACAAAAGTGTAATTAAGTCTTCAGTAGGTTTCTCAGTCTCTGGTTGAATAATAGATTCAGCATGTGATCATCTCAGACCTCCAAGCTGCTGATTGCTGCCTACCTTGTGTAAAACCATCAAATTGGAAGAATGACCAAAGAAAGTGAACATTGCCATGCAAGTATTGTAAATATATAGTTTGTTTTTGTACTTTTGTTTAAAATAAAATGTACATTTGGAAAAGTTATGCCCACAGAATATTAATCCTCTTACAGTTTGCATGTTTTTCATCTTTCATCTGATCAGCACAAAAAGTCACAAAAGATGCATGAGTGATGGATCCGTTTCTCGCAAAAGAAGATGTGGAATACCTCCGAGCTGAGGGTGAACTTGTAGATATCAAGTCAAATTCTCTCCTCAAGAGATTCTACTTTGAACATGGATAGAAGTAGTTTTGGCTTATGAAAGGACCAGACATCACTCCAAGACTAAATATAGGCTGAGGAAAATCATCTGATATATTGCAGTATACACAGGAAATAATGTGCTCAAACTTAAGAAAACAATTGCTAGGCATGCACAAACATGCTGCAGGTACTAAGTTCACTGTCGGGGTTTCACTATAGAGTGTATTGATATGTAAGTTAGATAAATTCTGAAAAATCTGTAAAAGAAATTTGAAAAGAGGCACCAATCTTCCATTTGTAGTTGTGTGTGGTTGAGGGGGCGGGGGTCTCTTTAGGAAAAGGTTGGGAACCACTGGCATAGGATGACTATGATGACTAGTTGTACAGTCATTTTTGCAAATCAAGAACAATGTTGAAAATATACAAAGTAGAAAAGCAGAGAGAGCAGGAAGAAACTATAAAGGTTTCCAATACAATATTTACTGTCTCTGCAAATGACATTTGGCGATCATATCAGCTTTGAAACCATTTGAACCTGTTTGCTAGGAACCAGTAGTGTAAACGAGCTACTGCACATTAAATTTTAAGTACTTAACTTTCCATTATATCCTTCTATTCTATCACATTTCAGGAGGATATTATCATTCCTATTACTCCACTACATTCATTTCACAAACAGAAATACTAGTAGCTTATTAAGTGCCACTACCGTCACTTCATACCTTTTCCCCCACGCTATACAATGACAAAACATCTATTTTTAGAATTATCTTTATTTGCCAAATATCTCGAACACACAAGGGATTTAACTCCAATAACCAATAAATAGATAAATATTTGACTATTGTGGTGCCTCTGCACGGGGCTGTAATTATGTCATCATGAAAACAGCATTCAGTTCACTGAACAGCCCATGGACTTTAGAGGAAAAGGTGGGTGGTCAATCAGGAGTGTTTGATCTGATTGATTCTGCATTTTGAGCCATGAAGGCCTGTGAGGACATGACCCATGTCACTTAGGCAAAGGCACCCTGAAAATGTCATCTAAAAATTATGATTTTCTACTTTAACTGGGAATATAAATGTACCACACAGTCTCAAAAACATTGTTTAATAATCACATGAAATTAAGAATCAGCTTTACTGGCCAGGTGTGTTGGACACATGAGGAATTTGACTCTGGTACCGTGGCTCTCAGTGTGCATGTACAATGTTCTTCCATAAGGTAAGGAGGAAACAAGATAAGGCTGAGAACAAGAAAATAAAAACAATGTACAAACAAGAAAAAGAAATGTGCATTATTCAAGGTATTTTACAGGTCAGTGACACTAGCAGGCTAAGTCCTTGAAGCCAGTGGCAATGATAGATAGTGTTTGTCATTAGCTTCTGTTCAGCTGCTTGGTCGCTGTGTCACTGTGGCCAATCTAAATACAGTGCACACTATCACCTGGCGGTCTGCGTAATGCCAAGCAAAATGGGCGTCTGCTGCCGCCGTGTGGTCAAATAGTATATTGCAACAGGCAGTGTTGGACTCAAGGAAAAATCTATTGGATGCGTTTTTATTCTGAGCACAAAGACTCAGTGTCAGCTGAGGTTTGAATGTACAAGCCTCACAGTGGACTTTTATTTTAACTTTGATTAAAGCTCAGAATTTAGACTGTTTTCTGTTAACTTCTAAGTTTAAAAACATTATCAACATCACAAGGAAAGTAAGTACAATTCAAATTGCCAAAAACGCATGTTTGTTTATAACCGTGTTAAGCATTAGCTGGTACAAGCTTTCTATACCTGTTGCACGGATGTTGGGCAGCCTGAAAACCACTTTTCTCCACCAGATTGTTTCTGTAGTCACTGCTCTTTGCCTTCGTAATAGAATAATAGTTTGATCGACTTAAAATCCTTCACAGTGTCAGTACTCTGACCAATGCAGAATGTAGTTTGTGAAGTCGGGTACAGGCTTCAAACTGAATTGGAAAATTGTACATGACTCGTTCCTCAGGTCACCCACAAGTAGATGAGAACCAGCTGGAACATTTACTGTAACGACATCTGAAACAAAGATCTGAAATATGAATTGAAGTTATTAAATGAGCCGGTCACTCAAATCCAAACACATACATTAAAAGTTGAAAGGATTCTTGGTGACATCTTCCATATATGTGAAAAAGAAAGAAAAACTTTAATTATTTCCAATATTATTTTACAACATACAAAAAAGGGGGTACATGAGGGGATAAGACAAGCGCAAAGGACTTAAATGTCCTTTTGAACCACATGAACCAAAATCATCTTTCTCAGACAAGATTAAGAGTGGTCTTGGATTTAACATAGTCTTGAACTGACTGAACAAGTTTGTTCAAGCAATATTATGAATAAATGAAGACATATATCAAAACCTTATGGTGGCTAAGGCAGTTTAGCTTCATGGTAAGCATAAGTAGCAATACCACAGTGTAGAAATACAAGTAAAGGTTCTGCACATTCAAAATGTTAAGTAAAAGTACAAGGTATCAGCCTCAAAATACCAAAGTACTCATTGTGCAGAATGGCACTTTATTGCATACAGCACATTTAATGTTGCAGCTGGTGAAGGTAGAGCTAATTGAGCTAAACTGTATTTTGTCTTATTTATCTGATTATGCAAAGTAACTAGTAACTAAAGATGTTAAATAAATAGTGGAATAAAAATTACAATATTTGCCTATAAAATGTAGTGAAGTCAAAGTATGAAGTAGCAGAAAATGAAACTATTCAAGTAAAGTATATATACAGTACCTGAAAATTGTGTTTCAGTACTTGAGTAAATTTAGTTAATTACTTTCCACCTCTGGTGTTGTGGATACTAAATATGAAGGCTGAATTCATCACCTGTCCACTTTTTTGGTAGGTATTACAGACGTGGGTATGTTATACCTATTTCCTGTGCTTGTGGTTTGACTGTGATCATGCATTCATTTTGAAACAAGGTTCTTTTTTCTTGTATGCGTGTGATGCAGACTATTGTTGTGAGCTATATACAGTCACTCACTCTGAGACACTCTGCACTGGATATTCTTTTCACTCTAGCACTGGGTTAGCATGTAAACTAGTCGACCATATGGTCAATAATGATGGAGAAACTGGGTCTGAGAGCATTAGCAGTATATCTGGCAGAACTGTAGTGAAAATACATACATTTGGGTTAAACAGAGCGCATGCTTCACATGTAATCTAATAAGCTTTTGGTATTGTTTGTAGTGCAAGTACTTTTGGAAGAGAGCTTTTTTTCTGTTAATAATTTCTGCCATTTTGCTGTGAAGTATTCCTTTCTGCTAACATCTGAGCTCAGAACCAGGTGTGATTACTAACCCAGGAAAAAAAGGCAAAAGTAAATGCCACTACTGCAGCCGCTCACATGTCAACTTGTGCAGTAACTATGTGAAGTATACAAATGGTTTAACTATTTGGACAACTTTGCTGAGAAATTTGCTGAAAGAATGTGGTAGAACATGCCACCAGTATATGTGGAATTGGGTAAGCAAAAGGCCACTGAACCAGTACCTATATGAGACAGACAGCTTAAAAATCAAGCTTTTCCTCCAGGATTTAGGCCAGTTCTAATAGAAAGGTGTACTGTTTATAGTATGGTCCTTATGATTGCCTGCCCCCACCCAAGATGTTCTACAAAAAGTTCCACATATATTCAGGTTTAACTATTTACTGAGGCTACTGTAATGTTAACTAACCATGAACATGGTTTTCTAAATCATAAATATCATATTATACAATCGGTATATGTTTTTACAAACCTGTCTACAAGCTGTGAATGTAGAAATTCTGTGTGATTTTAATTAGGTTGGCATTTTCTGCTTCTGCATTTCTGTCACATGACTTGTCCATGGGTGTGGATGAGTTTCTCTGTCTACATGTGGCTGCTTTGTGATAGACTAGCAACCTATCCGACCTCCTGGCCAGAGAGCACAGGGAGGATTGTCTAGTCCAAATCCTAGTCTTTAACATTTTATTATAAGTATGCAAGGCAGCTTCATCCTTTCTCTGTCTGTCAGTGTTCAGTGCAACACTTCTGCCTTAACATCTGTGTTATGAAGCTCAAAATGGCTCTGTTTTTGGTGAAATTGTCATAAATGTATAAATTAAATTATATGTTTATTATTGAGATCATAGTTAAAGGTACTGTTGTACTAGACTACGTTATATTTAGAGGTGTCTCTGTATTTTTGTCCTCCCCAGCTACATACATGAGAGGGTCAGAATATTAGGAACACCTCAGAATATAGTGCATCTAATAAAGTGCCCTGTGAGTGTATATGTAACTGTTGTGGGAAGAGAAAGCCATCATGTCACTGTCTGCTCTTTGGATACAGATTTGGACATCACAACATAGAAGATGATTGGCTAATGACTGAAGTTATTAAAGTACAGTAGGCAAATGCATTTTTAGATTTTTCTCAAACAGATCACAATATCCTGCCTAAATGTACATTTCACTCACTAAAATGTAAGGGTCTTTATTTGTTATACAGCACTGACATGTTGCTTTGGTTAGTTCTAAGTCTATACTATATGCTCAACTGGTTTAATTTTTAACTTTTTAGTTCCTTTTGGAATGAGTGCTCAAACCCATTATTCTTGTTTTAACACATATCTGACTGTAAACCTAAGGATGAACAGATCAATAAGGCTTGTGAACATAATTACATTTGTCTTTATTTTCTGAAGAAATACAATACGTTTCAGACAGGCAACAAATTAAACTGGTATAAACACAGTTTTAAAGTTAACACTTTAGCAGATCTGGAGGTCAAATACGCTATAAGTAATCAAGGGGTCCTCCATCACAA